TTTGCCAAATGTGTTATATTTAACATTAATTTTAAACTAACTGTCTAATTAAAACACTGACTGTGAAAAATAATTTAGAAGTGATGTAATAATGTTGAATTTTCATTGAAAAAGAAGCTTAATCATATAAAAGCCTGTCCAGGCTATCAAATTAACAAAAACATGTGATATACCTTTAAATATGGTCATGATGACATCACATCATGAACATATATAGGCACATCATGACTATATATGGGCATACAGCAGTTTTTTGTCAAAGAAAATTTGATGTGAACAGAGCTTAAAATGATATAACATATACAGAATAGAAATAAATAAATGAAATAATAATAGTAATAATAATAATAATAATCAAAAAATTATAATGATAATAAAAAATAATAGTAATTAATTTATAATAATAGCAGTAAAAAAAATAATAATAATCATATTAATAATAATAATAGCAGTAAAAACATAATAATAAAATAATAATAATAATAATAATAATTAAAAAAATAATAATTAAAAAATAAAATAATAATAATAATAATAATAAAAGATAATAATAATAAAATAATAGATTAATTAATAATAATGTCAGTAAAAAATAATAATAATCATAATATTAATAATAATAGCAGTAAAAACATAATAATGAAATAATAATAATAATAATAATAATAAAAGATAATAATAATAAAATAATAGTAATTAATTAATAATAATAGCAGTAAAAAAAATAATAATCATAATATTAATAATAATAATAATAATAGCAGTAAAAACATAATAATGAAATAATAATGATAATAATTGAAAAAATAATAATTAAAATAAAATAATAATAATAATATTAAATAATAAAAATAAAATAATAGTAATTATTAATAATAATATTAGCAGTAAAAAAAATAATAATAGCAGTAAAAATATAATAATAAAATAATAATAATAATAATAAATAATAATAATGAAATAATAGTAATTAATTAATAATAATGGCAGTAAAAAATAATAATGATAATTATAATAATAATAATAATAATTAAAGAAAATAATAAAAAAGTAATAATAATAATAATAAAAATAATACAAAATAAAAATTAAATAATAAATAATAATTAAATATATGATATATATGAAACAAATTTGTATAGTATGGCAAGTTGGTCATTTTTTTGAAATAATGCTATATATGTAGATTTACAAGAATTAAGCAGTGTAATTTCAATTTCTCTATTTCCGAAATGAAATTTTAAATTATTGTATTATAGAAGAAGAGTTACAATTAGAGAAAATCATTTAATCTGTGTCGACCTCATTATTTGCGAATAGCACAATTACTAGAAGACTGTTATCGCGCATAACTCATTCATCTCCTAGCATATTATCATTGCGCGGTGGCCAACGATGCGATGAAAAACCACATTATTACGCTAGATTCAATTATACAAAAATATGTGGTGTATTGTATTGCGTCATTATAACAATTGAAAATTCAACTCTGTAATGCTTTTATTTCATTTACTGTCCGTTTCAGTCTATAAATAGTAAAATATTATAACTTAATAATTTGCATTGAATAAATCTTGTAAAATATGTATTACACGTGTTGGATGTGTTAGCAAAGAGCGTGGAATATTATTCACGTTATTAAACATTACTCAATGACTTGTGATGTGGGAAGTAGGTTTTTAGGTTTTTAAAATGATTTATTGATGATATTATAGCAATTTTATGAACAATTTATCTTTCTCATGGCATATTTTATTTTTATACCTCCAGATACATTTTAACATTAATTTTGATTTGTTGGGCCTAGTTTAGTGGTGAAATGGATTTTTGCAAAAGTTATTTTTGATAGATTTTTTGTTTTTTTTTTAACCTGTAGATATAAAATACAGTGGTAATGATGTATTGAATTTTATTTTATATAAATTACAAATTATTATTTTAATAAATTGTTGGAAACCCTCTATGCGATTTACATTAAAAGCAAAAGCTGGCTCAGAATTTTTTTAAAATTATGATAAAACAATGAGTGAAAAATCAATATACAGTAACAAAATCAATATAAAATAATTAAATGCTATTCCTTTTTGTCAAGTGTCACTACACCGCAAAATAAGATACTAGATAGATGGCGCATTATTAAAGTGATGTTTACACAGTACGATAACACGCCACTCATACAATAATAATAATAATAATAATAATAATAATAATAATAATAATAATAACAATAAATAGCAATAGGTAGATTTATAAGGGTGCAAATACACAAGGTCTCTAAGCACCCTGTCTGGACCTACATCTACAGTATCTACGATACCATCACAATGTATTGATTAAATATAAAAATCAATAAACCAATTTAATGTTCAAAATACGATTTTGACGTAGAGTAATCGTTGTTATACTTGCACGGATAATAATAAATATTTGCGTGAAAAAGTGGCTTTTCTAATATTTTTACATTTGCACGTGCAAAACCAATTTATAAAAGGTAGAAGTGGCCAGTTAAAATTTCTTGCAATAAAATGTTTAATGGGACCCTTTTTTACAAAGGAAATTTCTTTTAAAGTGACCTTTTAATATTTGTATTTTACATTCACATAGGCAGTAAAAATATCTTTATAACACATTGCCTGCCAGACCTTTTTTTTTCAGACTTTGTCTGGAATGCCATAGAAAGTTTACCTGTACAAATGTACTTTCTTGAAATGTTATCAAGTCACATATCATCAAAATGGTGTGTCTGATAAATTGGCGGGAAAATGTTTAGAGACGAGAAAACTTGTTGCTGGCAATGTGGCAGTACTTTCCAAAGCCTCTGCCAAGTGCAAGTTTTCCCGTCCGCTTTTTGCATTTGTTGGTATGTGTTCAGAGGACGCCCTACTCGCCCACTCAACAAAAATACATACGTTATTTGTACGTTATCATCTAGGTGTATTTTCCCCAAACTATCAACCATTAAGTCTGTGGTTCTACAATGTATAACAATGAAGTAACATACGCTAGAATGTTACCCCAGTTTTGATGAGTATAGTCGTCCCTAGCGCCCTCAGCAGCCCCCTGTGGGACGAGTATACTCGTGGCTGGCAGCGAACATGTTAAAAGTGACTATTTTTACATTAGCGTGCAATAAAAATTGTTTTAAAGCTACATTTTTTTTTCTCGCGTGACAATAAAATGTTTGCTTAAAGTGATGCATTCTCACTTGTTGTAGAGATAATTAAATTATATATGCAACCGAATTACATTGTCAGCAATTCTACAGCTGTGCCTGTAGCACGCTACCAATTCTACTATAAAAAAAATTGTAAAATGATGTAACGTTAATAAATATAGTCTCATTTATCCAGATGTACATAGGAATCATTTTCACACTACCATGATGGTTGGGATCTGATGTAAGAAAATTTATGATTATGGCAATAACATTTTTTAGAATTTACCATCAAAATTTTATTTGTATTTTTTTCTCTGCCTAGTTGCTAATTGGAAAAACCATTTTGCTAAATAAAAAAACAATATTTGTTAAATTTTTTTTTTTATTCTGACGATCTTTAACAAAATAACTTAGTTTAACGTAGTATAAAAAAAATTGTTTGATTGATTGATAAATTGATTGACTGATTGATTGATTGACTTTATTTGGAACTCGGTAATACAATACAAAAATATGATAAAGCAGAATACGGAGGATAACACAAAAAAGTCAAAACTTCCGTTGAGGTACACATTTTTCAACTGGTATCCATTTCAATTGATTGAAATAAACATAATTTATATGAGTACGAGGAAGTAGTTTCAAAACAATTTTAATAAATTTATTTTGGCAAATTTGCAATCTGGATTTATTTTTTTGTTTTAAGTCACTATACCAAGATGTACATGCATAGCCTACAAAGTGACATTGTACTAAAGACCGATGCAAGCATTTTCATTGTGTCTTCATCTAACTACTGTAAAACCTCGAATAGAAGCCATGGGCTACTTGTTTTTTTTTTTTAGGATCCTTGGATGGGCTTCTTTTCGAGAGTACTTTTGCAAACTAAAACGGGGGCTTCTTTCATAATGAATACTGTAAGTTTAGGAATTGCTACTATACATCATTATTTTTGATGTACCAGTCTCAATTTTAATTGAGTTACATATTTTTCAACTGGTATCCATTTCAATTGATTGAAATAAACATAATTTATATGAGTACGAGGAAGTAGTTTCAAAACAATTTTAATCAATTTATTTTGGCAAATTTGCAATCTGGATTTATTTTTTTGTTTTAAGTCACTATACCAAGATGTACATGCATAGCCTACAAAGTGACATTGTACTAAAGACCGATGCAAGCATTTTCATTGTGTCTTCATCTAACTACTGTAAAACCTCGAATAGAAGCCATGGGCTACTTGTTTTTTTTTTAGGATCCTTGGATGGGCTTCTTTTCGAGAGTACTTTTGCAAACTAAAACGGGGGCTTCTTTCATAATGAATACTATAGTGTAAGTTTAGGAATTGCTACTATACAACATTTTTCAACTATGGAATTCAAAATTCTGTTTAATATTTTTTAAAATGTTAACCATGCTAGTACAATTAAGTACTATTGATACTGACACGATATCATAATCATACACACAATCAGTCTGAATGTGTAGTATCTCGAAAGAAGCCCATATTATCTTGATAAGGAGCCCATTGGCATCTTTTGAGATGGGCTTCTTTTCAAGATTACTTTTATCAGCTGAAGGGGGGGAGAAGGCTTCTTTTTGAGATTGGTCTCTTCTCGAGATTAAGCTTGACAAGGCTTCTATTTGAGGTTTTATGGTATTAGATTTTCTTGATATCATCATCATCATCCTGTTTGTCCCTTCATGGGGGAGTCAGGTTGTCTCATGATGTTATGTATTTTCTTTAATTTACTTTCAGAACGATAGCCATATTTTTACCTGAAATATATTGTATAGTGTCATCAACGTTTTAATTTCAATAACTTCTTTTCTTTATCAGAGATTGGAGGTCATGTAAAGGAAGAGAGACTTGTTGCCATTGACACAGCTCATTCAACAATTTCAAGAGAAATTCATCTATCAGGCTTTCATAGGTATTTCTTTGTTCTTTTTACATCCAACCGCAAGCTTAGGATATTATCTTTATGTCATGTTTTTTCCAAAAGACTGAAAAAAATAAAAGGAAAAATATCTTTCTTTTTGAAGATGATAGTGATTGGCATGCTGGTACTAGTACAAGCATTTATAATGCACCACTTCCTTGAGGTTATAAAGCGAACTTCTTTTCCCTGGTCATTTGGGTCCCTGGTAATCAGCGCAGGAGCAGGCAATCCCACCAGATACCCATTTATACTCCTATGTAGAGAGAAGCAATGCTGATATAGTGCCTTGCTCAAGGGCACACGTGAAATGCACAGCAAGGGATTGAAACCCCAACCTCAAGGTTGGAAAACCAAACTGCTGCAGCAAACAGCTTTCACCCAACACACTCTTCTTTCCGGTTTCACTGTCGCTGATTGCAGACTCATTAGTGTTTGTTTAGATATTTTCCATAGCGTATGCTTAATTTAAACATATTTGATCAACACAATTTGTATCCGTATCTGTTCTACATCATCATATAAAATCTGATGGAGACTATATATTGAATATGACAGATATAAAATTGATAGTAGGCCTATGCCCTACTTTAATGTGCAATTTGAACATTTGGTACATAGTTGAATCTTTGGTTAGCTATTGAACTCTCTCTTGGATCTGTGCTGAAGAAAAAAACTTGCACTTTTAATTATACACAGCACAGCTGCTATTATGTACTTTTTTTAATGTTGAAGCTTTTTAATATCTCTGCTCCACTTTTATATTACTCTATAAAATATGCCTTTGTTTTGTATAGTAGTATATTTTTAATAAATTGCATGTTGTACTATTCAAGTTGCTTGATTAAAAAATTGCACTTAATCTTTAATGCAGAGAAACAGATTAAAAAAAAAAATATGGATTACTTTAACTATAGATGGCGCTATTTTAGATAAGATCTTTCTAGTAATATTTATTTCTTCAGAAGAGTAAATTTTTTTCCCAGCCAGGCGAGATTTTTTTTTATACCTTGTTTGGTGAACCCACCGGCTTCAAATATTGATGATTTCAAATAAAAATAAAATTTTATTTCTGACCAATTAGCGCACACGCCGCCACGAAAAAAGTGGAAATTTCAGAAAAAAATAAAGGTTTTTAATAATTTTATTACACCCTCCGCTGCCTTGAAATCTCCAAATTTAAGATACATAAATGTATATTTCTTCCTAAGTATATAAGTTTGAAGCATTTAACCATTCCTATTATACATTCACCAATAAAATTTTATTTTTATTTTATCCTCCGTCTGGATAGTTTTTTGCAAATCTTTTTGCTAAATAAGAAAACAAAATTTTATTTTTATTTTAATTCCGCCCTCCGATAATCTTTAAAAAAATAAGTACGCGAAACAAGGAATAAAAAAAAGTCTCGCCTCAGCATCATATGCTGTACAAAGTCTTTCTACATTTTTATATATTATTTGTTATTAATAATAAACAGGTATGTACAGTAAACATGTTAGGGGTTATTCACACTATCAACATTTCCACAAGTGTACAAACAGTACTCTTTTTCTATACCCACTCCCTCCCTTCTGAATCAGTACATTAAAAAAATGTTGATTTTGCAAAACCATTGTGAAATCAACTAAAGTACTGTATTTGGTTACTTAAAAATGTATCTATGCAAATGGTTGTATTATACGCGGTCATAATTTGAATCAACATTTTCATTTTCCATCTTAAAAAATCATTTTCCTTTGCTTCTCCACTCTGTGGAATGAATTGTCTGAATACATCAAGTAAGTGCCACACTAGAGAACTTCAAGGCCTTACTCAAAACTAATCTTTTTCTTTCATTGCCCTCTTCTTCTCCCTCTCTGCTTCTTTAGTGTTTGTACCAGAGTGTGCGTGGTTGTGGCCTGGTAGCATCAGCGACAACCATCAATTGATGGTTGCAAAAACCTGTACTGATACTAGTACCAGTTACAACTCTCAACTTCACCTCTACCAGTACCATTGTAGCCCAGTATCATCAAGTTATTTTTCATGCAATATTTCAATTTTATTGTAGGATATTGTGTCTCTAGGTGCTAAAAGTAGTACAAAGTACTTGGCGTGCATAATGTTAATCAGTAAACCCACTGTTGAAATTTTATTTCCATCATCTGCACTTTTTAATATTTAAATACAACACATTATGAACTATAATATTGTAAAAATGTTATTTTTAAATTAAGCAAACAAAGCTTGATGGATTTTTATGAGTAGCCCTACACTGTGGTATTGATTATTGATTTTCATTTTTCAGCAGTCTCTGTGTGAGAATTGCAAAACAAGGAGGACACACTATTTGTGTTGTCATTATATTTTTATATATTGTTTAGTATTTATTATTATATTTTTATATATTGTTTAGTATTAGGCAAGACTTTTTTTATACCTTGTTTAGTGAATCCGCCACCTGCCAAAAATTAAATTTTTTGGTCAATTAGCATAACTGCTGCCACAAAAAATGGAAATTTTAGAAAAAAAATTTTTATTAATTTATTTTTATTACGTACTCAGCTTCCACAAAAAAAAGGGAAAGTTTTTCTTTATTTTTATTATGCCCGCCACTGCCTTGAAACATTTTCAAGTTTTGCATATGTTTGCACTCCATTTCAAATCTAATGGATCAAAAGTCTGACGTTTATTCAAGAAATCTTTACCTATGAAATTGCCTTGGTCACCTGCATACATGCCAAGTTTGAGTTTGGCTGTGGATGGAGATTTGAACAGGAACGAAACAATTTAGGCGTGGGTAGAGGGCCCGCCTAGGGCCCGGGAAATTTTTAGGCCTAGATGCTCTCTGGTGCACTCTGAGCAGATCTCTAGTGCTCAAATTAAATCTTAAAAATGGGGTAATATATACTAACATTTTTTGAAAAATAAAATTCTATAGCTTTATTTAAGTGTTAAAACTCTTAACTTTATTTATTTTTTTCAACAAAATTTTCAAAATACTCAAATACACGTTTTATATTTGACAAACAATTCTTTTGTTAAAACAAGTTAAACAGAAAAGGAGATCTGTGTAAAAGAGAGGCTGAAGCATCATTTGCTCTCTTTTGATGAATGTAACTGGTTGTATGCCCAAGTTGCACCCTTAGCTTTCTTTAAAATAGAAATGACGTAATG